TTTTTGAAAGGGTGTATATACCATATGGAGCATTCTGAACCACTTTTCCTAAGAGAATATGGGTCTAAAGCCGGTTTCGAGCCAGCGAATTTTAGAGAAAGTTTAATTCTTCGGGGTTATAAAAATTTATTTGTCAGTTTTTAAGATATCTGAATGGAATTAAATACATATGTACGTGCATTTTGAGATTCTATTGATCAGAGATAACTATATCACATATCTCCATACAACCGATTCTTCAGTTATTTTATTTTCCGGTTGCCTGCCTTTAATTAAAAATCTGAGAGCACGTAATTTTGCAGAACTGTTTTCTAATACATGCTTAACAATTACAGTGAAAATTAATAAAATCGGACAACTATGTATAACATATGGTATATGGTCCATACATATGTATTATGTAGTGTGCGATTTTCACCAAAAATAGCACTTGCTTAATTTTTAAAAATTGCTTTTGTTATTAAAAACGTCTATTTGACGTTATACGTCATTGGCTTTTGTGAGGAATCGGTTTTCCCGAATCGGGACTGCCCAAGAAACGGGATCGACCTGAAAAATGTATGCAGACATAATTATCAAAATAAAAATATATTAATAATTAAATAAATTCCATAAAAGATTTATCAGAACAATCTCCATTTGCTTTCTTCGAATAATCACTTTTTCTATAAGAAACTTTACACTTAATTGGTTTCGTAAGGTGTGGCGTTTTACGACTTTTTCGAAAGAAGTAAATGAAATTTAATTTCAAAATATCAATCCCGAAATTTCGGGACTGCACAAAAATTTGTGCATTAAAGACTATGCACGCACAGTTATCAAACAAGTTGTAAATAATTACATAAATGTCATAAATCGAATATTTATCAGAACAATATTGCTTTCTTAAGTATTATATTTCTTTTTGAAAAGGAACCAGACATTCTACTTTACACTCCATTCGTTTCATAAGGAATGCCATTTCACAACTTTTTTTGAAATTATTAGACCATATTTTATTTTAAAGTATGTATCAATCTCGAAATATTGGTGCTACACAAAATAATGGAATCGTTCTAAAATCAATGCAAATCAAGTAAAACATTTTTGCTTTTTTTGCGACAAAAATTAGAAAAATATAGTATTCAATGTTTACATTTTTGTAATACATAACACAAACAAACAATAATTTAGTTTAGTTTGTGCAGCGCACAATAATTTCTCTAATTTGATACCAGTGTCACTGCAACTGCGTCTTACAGAGCTGTCAAATCACACACGAAAAACAAAGAGTAAGCCATAAAATTATTCATATTTCATAACATGCATTTATATATCTTTTTTTTACACATAAGTATAAAAAAAACTGTATGGCTTTAGCCAAGTTCGCTGGTGATGGGCAAATGGCATAATTAGCACGTGCAAATGAATGCATTTTCGATAAAGTAATTAATATAATTACATACGTATGTACATATGGTATAAATATGTATGCGATTAGGCTTATCGCAGTGTACTGTTGACACGTGTTCAATATATGGATGTACCATATGTACACACATACATAATTTAAAACGCAATTAGAACAGGTGTGCTGCGCGGAGTGTTTTTGTTGCTGGAATTGAATTTTTTGATCTGATAATAAGAAAAAAATAGAAAACTGTAAGGCGGCGAGCTTCCCGGTACAATTAAGAACTCATACTTGGAGCAATGTCTAGAACCTATTTTTCAGAGTACCAAGCGAAAAAAATCGTTTTTTTCTTACCCCCTTACATACATATATTTATATGCAATATATTATATCGACATATTACTTGAAAGTATATGGCTGCATTGACTAATAAGTGAAAATAACAATAGTTGAAAGCTATAAAAAAACAGGGTCGTATGACGAATCATTTAAATAATCATAATTAAATAAATTTGTCATAGTTGGCACAAAGTTCGTGAGCTCGTGTTATTTATCGAGCGTAAATGATGTAAAATTTGCACAAAACAATATAACATTATATATGCGTGTCTTTTATTTATTATTTATTATTGATTTATTACACGTGGCGTCAATATAGTGTAGTATTTATATAGTCATGTTTTAAATGTGTGGTAGTAGGTAATGACTGTAGAGGTTAGTAATTTCATACAATCAGGCTGCATTGGCAATTTCATGCAAATGTTACTGATTAAAAATAAATATTTCAAGCATGAAGGCTCAAGAAACCTTCACAGTAAATATTTTGAAGAAGGGAAATCCGAAAATTCTGCAAAATATTATTCAATATTTTCTCTTGAATAGATATATGAAAAATTATGACTTTTCGAACGTAAAAGCTCTGTGAAAGCTTCACAGTACATATTTTTAAATAAGTTTTTGCGGCAAAAATAGAAAATTTCAGAAATATATTATTCAAATGCTTTACCAAAAATATATCGTGATCAAAAACTTCTGCAAAATATTATTCAAATGTTTCTCTTGAATAGATTTATAAAAGATGATGAATGTCGTAGCATGAAAGCTCAATGGAAGCTGCGTAGAAAGTATTTCGAGATAAGCTTTTGAACAAGAAAAAATATTTTTTTGTGCATTTTTATTAATTTTGCTAAAATAATTCGAAATGTTAGGGTAGAAATAACAGATAATGCCGAGTTTAAAAGACATGACATTTTAGAAGAATTGTGGGAAAATGTATCGAAATAAAACGATCTTTTTTAAATTTGATTAAAAATTATCAGATCCTTCTTAACATTTTATAGGGTTATGTATTAGTAAAAATATATCAAAAAGTAAGTTATTTAAATTCGAAATAAGAAAAGATTTATAATGGTTCTCAGATATTTTAAATGATTCTGACAAGATAGGTTGAAGGTAAATCTCATTTGATATAAATTGAAGTAAATTTTACACCTAAAAAGTTAAGTGCTTTCAATATTGCTAATCATAAAAGGTTTAAAACGTAAAGCAAGAGTATGTCAGAGGCGAAATAATGTATATGTAGATTTACAAAAAATTAGGAACTAAAAGTATGAAAAAAAAAAAAATAAATAAAACAAGTAAGGAAGGGCTAAGTTCGGATGTAACCGAACATTTTATACTCTCGCAAAGTCAAATGGTATACTCGTTTGAGATTTCTTTGTGGATTGACTCATATTTTCGGTAGAAGGTCAACTATAGGCACTGGGGTCCACATATTTAGTACTTAGGGGTTTGAACAGTTTTGGTTCGATTTAGACAATTTTTGGCCGCAAGGTGGCATACTTTAAATGCATTATTCACGCAAAGTTTTACCCCGATATAATCATTGTTACCTGATTTGCATAGTGGAAAGTGAAAGAATCAGATGGAATTGAAAATGGTGTTACATGGGAAGTAAGCGTGGTTGTAGTCCGATTTCGCCCATTTACGCACTATGACATAGAAACAGAAAAGAACGTTATGCACCGAATTTGGTTGAAATCGGTTGAGCAGATCTCAAGATATGGGTTTTCACCTAAAAGTGGGCTGTACCACGCCCACTGACTAATTTTGAACGCGGTTCCTATAAAGCCAATTTATACCATCTCAGAGATAAAATTTAATGTCTCTGGCGTGTTTAGTGCTTGATTTATCGCGCTTTTAGTAGTTTTTAACAGTACCGTTACATGGGGAGTGGGCGGAGTTGCCACCCGATTTCAACTATTTTCACACCGTCAATAGAAGTGCTAAAAACATTTGCTTCTAGTGAATTTTGTTATTATAGCATTAGCGGTTTAGGAGATATGCACATTAAACCTATTAGAGGCGGGACCACGCCCACTTATTAAAAATAGTTTTAACTGCAGATGCCCCTCCCTAATGTGATCCTGTGTACCAAATAACAGTCTTGTATCTCATTGCGGAGCTTAGTTATGGCAAGTTATTTGTTTTTGATTAATGGCGTTTTGTGGGCGTGGCAGTGGTCCGATTACGCCCATCTGCAATACCAACCGTCTCACGGTACCAAGAAACATGTCTACCAAGTTTCATAAAGATATCTTAATTTTTACTCAAGTTAGAGCTTGCACGGACGGACGGACGGACTGACAGACAGTCACCCGGATTTCAACTCGTCTCTTCATCCTGATCATTTATATATATATAACCCTATATCTAACTCGATTAGTTTTAGGTGATACAAACAACCGTTAGGTGAACAAAACTATTATACTCTGTAGCAACAGGTTGCGAGAGTATAAAAAACAAACAGCGAAATTATATATAAAAATAAAACTAACAACTCGCTCGCATTGAACACGCACAATTAAAAATTAACACATCAGAAATGAAAAAAAAAAACAATGGGTAAACCACAACTTTAACATGCCATAATACCCATTTAACAACAATGAATATACATATATATATGAGTTTACATACTTATGTATATAATTAAAAGCTGCCAAACAAACGGCGTTGAAAAGCAGCCAGAAGTGAGCGTACGCGCAAAGCGTTTTAAATGCAAGCATTAACCGTTTAAGGGTGCCGACAGCATGTGCACACATACATATATACATATATAATATTTAATATGTTTGTACATTAGGGTGAAAAAAAAGTATTTTTTTTTTCGCTTCATACTCTAAAAAAGTATGAGCTCTTAATTAAAACGGGAAGGTCTTCCGCCTAGCGGTTACTTGGAATTACTTAAAAACATAATATTCAAAAGAAAAAAACAGATTTGCCTTAAAATAGTCAAACTGTTAGCTTTAATCCACAAAACGAAATAATTTCAAAAAGCTGGAAGCGAGATATGAATTTTTCTATCTGATAATAAGGAAGAAAATGTAAAACCGTTAGCCAAAATACCTTCCCGTTACAATTTAAAGCTCAAACTTAGAGAGATTTTCTATGAGGTGTCTATCAATAAAATTTTTAGAGTACGAACCCTCATGTACATGTATACTTACATATATATGGTATAACAAATTTTTATTGTCACACTGTTACTGGGCAGAGATTTTCTACTGAGCGGCTAGGCAGGCGTCTGTTGCTTTGCTTTTAACTATTATACATATTTACCTAGGCGGTAGCTAGGAGTTACGCTGGTGTTGATTTGCACATTTATTAAAATTATTAAATGTATTGTATTTCGTTGAGACTTAATTTTTTTCGATTTTATTCCAAGGGAGTCAACGGTTAAATGTCTATAAGTTTATAATAATAATAAACTTTTTCATAAAGGAAAGCTAACCAGGAAAGTTGTAGATACAAGTTAGGTTAGGATTGAGATAGACTACATTGGGTTTGACGATCAAACATTAGAGGGTAGGTAACACGAATACAAGAATAAATTAATGCTGTTAAGGTCAAGTAGCTCAAGTAGTTTACGAAATACTAATGCATCAGGGCCAAATACGGGATTATAAACAAAAAAAAAAAAAAAAACAATTATGCCAAATGCCAAATTTTAAATACCAAATACCGATACTGGATTGAAAAAAATGTAATCCTAACAACACTTAGGATTTGGTTCTAAAGTTATACCTGTCAACAATATATAAATATAGCGTGCAGCGTCATTGCTAATGCAGTTACTGATGGTCTTTAAACGGTTGAAAATCCCGGGCCCACGCGTCTGATTTGTTTGTGCTTATCTCGCGCGCTTACGATTTGGTAACAAACAGCGTAACGATGCCTTGTCGCTTTACAAATAATTTGTGGTAGGTGTTTGTATTTGTAATTGTGTGTGCGCGTGTATTTGTTATTAAAGAAGAGCGCGTTCATTGGCGCATTAGTTCACGCCATGCGTTGGCTCGTGCTCATGGTTCGTGTCTATGCTATTATGCGTATTTGAAAATTTTGACATCTACTGCCGTTCTTGCTTTTGTTGTAAGTGTTTACTAACAGTCGCGTTCGCCTGCTTGTCTACAATTTTTCGCTTACTAAGCACTAATATTAATTTGTTGTTTCTTCTAAATACTTGTTTTCTCAATCTTTTTTCAATTTAGTTGACTTTATTTTAGTTATTATTATGTTAGTTCTTTATTGCTTCAACTGTTGCTTTTTATTTACTTTTTTATTATTGCCTTCCTGAACTGTGCTTTGATTGTCTGGTATGTACAGTTGTCAGCGAAAGAGCAAAATATAATACAAATTTTTATACTTTACAATTAACTACATACATATACAAGTATATATATATATACATATGTTTACACAAGACTTCGAGCGCAAACTACAAAGACTGTGCGAAACAATCGCCCGTCTTCATTAACCCAAAAGCACCAGGTGTCATATAAATATCTACAAAAACAACTTATTGTTGCAAAATTCTTTTCATAAAAAAGTGCGTTAAAATCAAGAAAAACAAAAAGAAAACATTTATTTAACTGTAAACAATATATATTTACTCAAGTGTAGAGGATTAATTTAAATAATATGAAAAAAATAGATGAAGAAATGTCTACTAAAGTAGTGATATTTTGAAGGTAGATTTTCAAGAGGAATGAATCTTGGTGCAAGGAAGCTATACAATATAGCAGTTCACTAATAAAACAAGAAAGGTGGGTCTAAGTTTTTTTTTATCTAGATAAGGGCTGACAACAACTACCAGAGTTATTTGGTAAATGTTTTAAGTTTTTTTATTAGATTGTTGAAGACCGGACTAGGCTAGGATTAGGTATTTCAAATTATTCAATTAAAGGAAATTTAGAGAAAAATAAAGAACTTTCGAAATTCTCAATAATACTGATAAAATACGTCGTATATGTATAATACTGAAGATTACCACTTGTATATGGGACTAGGAATACGAATATATGAACTCGAGATCAAACCGGGGAAAAGAAGTAAATATTGCATTTATTGGAAATGCAAAAGCTCTAAGAGTCTTCGTTTTAGTAGATTTCTACATACTCCAAAGAAAGTACCGCTATTTTGATAGCTGCTCTGATGAGCTCTCTGATCGCAAATGCAGATGCCTCGCCTATCCGTCAGCCATGAAGACGCTCGGCACATTTTGTTGTTTCGACGCTTCAAAAAGAAAAAGTCATGCATAAACTTTTGCACATAAATATTTATATACCGACGTCTTAAAACAGTAGGAGAATGTTACATAATAAACAACCATTTTTATTGTTACATTTCTTTTTATTGCCACACTTTGCCATCGATCATTTGGTTGGATGTAAAAATAGAGAAAAAATATGGATAAACAACCACATTTCACTTAATTTATTTTGCTTGTTGCTGTTGCAAAACAATGCTTTCAACTCACATTATATTCACCGATGGGCATTGGACCCATTGAATTCGTCGTAAAAGGGAATGTTGTCACTTACAAACACATACGCAGACTCACCAGCGTATACTTGTGTATGAATACAAGTGTAATGTCGTGAAAATTGACAGTGAATGTCGCATGCGGTAGCAAAAATAAGAAATAGCCATTAAAGTATTGAGTACTTGCAAGAATGTCAACGCTGACATTTATGGCATTGCCACACTTGTCAATGGCAGGCGAATGATATAGTAAGTGAAGGGAATCGAAAGGAGAAAAAAATAAAAATAAAAAAATTAAATGACAAAAAAAATATGAAAAAGAAATAAAAAATTCAATAAATTTAAAAATTAAAAATATTACCAAAATAAAAAAAAAGTAAAAATAAATAAATAAATAGAGACGTACAATTTATTATAAATTAAATAAACATAAAAAACGTTAAAAATTAAAGTAAATGAAAACTATACAGAAATATGGAAAAAATTGAGATATAATATTAGTGAAAAACAAGAGAAAAGTGAATTATAAAAGATAAATAATAACTAAATAAAAATAATTAATAATACATTAGAAATAAAAAATCTAATTTGATTTGTTTTAAATACAAAAAATTTCATATTGATTTTAGAAAAATAATTGAAAAAACAGAAAATATGGAAAAATGTATATAAAAAACAAGTAAGGAAGAGCTAAGTTCGGATGTAACCGAACATTTTATACTCTCGCAAGGTCAAATGGTATACTCGTTTGAGATTTCTTTGTGGATTGACTGATATTTTCGGTAGAAGGTCAACTATAGGCACTGGGGTCCACATATTTAGTACTTAGGGGTTTGAACAGTTTTGGTTCGATTTAGACAATTTTTGGCCGCAAGGTGGCATACTTTAATTGCATTATTCACGCAAAGTTTTACCCCGATATAATCATTTTTACCTGATTTGCATAGTGGAATGTGAAAGAATCAGATGGAATTGAAAATGGTGTTACATGGGAAGTAAGCGTGGTTGTAGTCCGATTTCGCTATGACATAGAAACATGAAAAGAACGTTATGCACCGAATTTGGTTGAAATCGGTTGAGCAGATCTCAAGATATGGGTTTTCACCTAAAAGTGGGCTGTGCCACGCCCACTGTCTAATTTTGAACGCGGTTCCTATAAAGTCATCTTATACCATCTCAGAGATAAAATTTAATGTCTCTGGCGTGTTTGTGCTTGATTTATCGCGCTTTTAGTAGTTTTTAACAGTACCGTTATATGGGGAGTGGGCGGAGTTGCCACCCGATTTCAACTATTTTCACACCGTCAATAGAAGTGCTAAAAACATTTGCTTCCAGTGAATTTTGTTATTATAGCATTAGCGGTTTAGGAGATATGCACATTAAACCTATTAGAGGCGGGACCACGCCCACTTTTTAAAAAAAAATTTTAACTGCAGATGCCCCTCCTTAATGTGATCCTGTGTACCAAATAACAGTCTTGTATCTCATTGCGGAGCTTAGTTATGGCAAGTTATTTGTTTTTGATTAATGGCGTTTTGTGGGCGTGGCAGTGGTCCGATTACGCCCATCTGCAATACCAACCGTCTCACGGTACCATGAAACATGTCTACCAAGTTTCATAAAGATATCTCAATTTTTACTCAAGTTAGAGCTTGCACGGACGGACGGACAGACGGACGGACGGACAGACAGTCACCCGGATTTCAACTCGTCTCTTCATCCTGATCATTTATATATATATAACCCTATATCTAACTCGATTAATTTTAGGTGATACAAACAACCGTTAGGTGAACAAAACTATTATACTCTGTAGCAACAGGTTGCGAGAGTATAATAAAAAAGAAAAGTACAATATAATACAAAATAATAAAAAATAAATAAAAAAGGAGAAAAAATTATAGAAGGAAAAGCAATACTAAAAAAATGTAATAAAAAACATATATAAATAAATACATACATATATTAAAAATTAAAAAAAATTAAAGAAAAACTAATTTGGAAATTTTTTAGGATCGTTATAAAATTTTTGTTTTACATTTTTTTACAGCAGCTTTAAAAATTGTTTTATTAATGTATAAATTGTCTACATTAAGAATATACAGCAAAATTTTTGAAGAAAAAATTAAATATTTTTCGAGTTATTCGCGCTAAAAAAAGGTGTTCTACTCCTGCAGTATTTTTGGGATTCTTCGTGGATAAGACCTAAAACAAGAAAACTTCTCCCTAGAAGATATTGTCCGTACAATGTCCTACGGTCGAGAAAACTCAAAATCTGACAAAACGGTTGCGAAAGGTTAAATTTTACCCAAATCTTGGACGCTTTTCTTCTGCCAAAATACGATTTCGATGGTGAACTATATACAGAACATGTCTCCGAGTAATCACGCCAGCAAATTCGACAAATGCTGTTTCGAGAAAAACGCGTTTCAAGATAAATTAATTAAGCTAATTGAACTGAGCGGTTACATTTTAAAACTGTAACTCAAAAACTATTTGAGGTATTAATTTAAAATAATAGTATGTTCTTTTTAAAGGTATAAACTATCGATATATTAAAAAATCGATTTTTTGTTTTTAATTTCACACTTGTTGTGCCCCTTACCTGTTTACTATTATTCCATTTTTTTACATTTTTCTCATTTTCTTTTAACCACAATTTGTGGCATTTTGTGAAATACTTAACGCTTACAAAACACAGTTGCCAATTGTCAATGGTAATTTGCAAATTATATTTGTGCGCGCTTGTAATTTTTATTTATATACAATTGTCGCATGAATCGTTGAGTCGACGACTTGCTTCTTGCTTTCTTTGAAATGCCTGAATTGCAAAAGCGTGGAATTGTTAACCCTTTTTGACGGCAGTTAAATGGCTCTTGCCATAAACATATTTAAATGCATACATACTTTCAACACATATACACATACATAAGCATATATTCGCATGTATATATACTCATTCATATAAATATTCATGTGTGTGAGTGCATGCGCTTTCGAGCTCGTAACGATCATTGTTGTCATAACTGCCGGTAAAAAAAAAATCAAAATACACCTCTGTGGTGAACATAAAAAAACTGTGAAGCTAAGCAAAATTATGTGTGCATAAACGCCATATTATTTTGGCATTAAATTTTAGTTGTTTTTTATTTATTTTATTTTAATTTTACTACTATAAGACATATATAACATATGAGAATTTTATTCGCGAAGAAATGTTAAAAATGAGGAAAAGTAACACGGAAAACCTAAATAGCTCAAGTAGCAATTAAACTGCTGAATATTTTCCCATAGTAAAATCTATTTTATTAATGAGGCGATAAACATTTGTGATTTATATTGCATTATGAAATTGTTTCAACTTAGGAAATTATACTCAGCACTTTGTACGAATCATTGCCTTGCAGGAAAGTAATGGAAAGAGCGCTTTCGAAAGGTTAGTGAGTGTTTTTAATGATCAATAGCGCATTTCACGCATGTGTAAAGCAGCTAAAAAATTTATACGAGAAACTTTTTCAAATTAGCATTAAAAACTCGGAAGTACTTGACTGAAATAGGGTATAAGAATATGACTTAGGCTCTTTCAGTATCCTTGGATACTTAGTCAGTTAAACAGGGTACTGAATCATTGAACTAGGCTGGTGCCACTATCAACCCACCAAACTCACAAGTTCACGTGGAGAAACTCTCAAAATGTTTAGTTATCTCGGTTTATGTGCGGTTACTTCGACTTGTGTGTCAGGTAAAGTTATACGCAAATTTGACGGAACCGTAATACAAGGTTTTATGTGTTAGCTCATGTTGCAAAAAACTGCAACCTTGAACAAAACTATGAAAGCTTAATGAAAGCTTGCGCGCTCATATTTATTACCATAAAGAAGTTCTCATTGGATAAGAGTTAATCTGGTAGCATGTAAAATTAATTGTTAAACATTTTTAATTTTTAGAAGAAAGAAAATTAAGCACAAATAATCAAGTATGAAAATTATAAGTGAAAGTTTATAGCGATTTCGGCCAGTGTCATTCACAAAATTGTGTCACTGCATTGGAAATATAGTACACAAGTATTCTGTTGATGGCGTTCAAAATCCACGAAGTTTTCCATAAATGTTACCAAAAATAAATGTAAGCGTGAAATACATTTGTTTCCCTTGATAATTTGCTGATCGCTTGAATTTCTTATACATCTTTTGACATATTTATACACATGTATGTCTGTCTGTATGTATCTATATTTGAATATAGATAGATTACGTGGACACTTTTGCTATAGTTGACACCACCGAAAACACCGATTTGCAAATTCACCAAAGTTAATTTAGGTGCGTTACCTAAGGCAATATAAAACACGGCAAACTAACTAAATAGACGACGAGGTAACAAGAGCTTTCATTCATTGAGCTTATGCGACAATGAGTTCACTTTCAGCTACAATGACAGCATAACGCTACACATACAAATGCACACTTTTTGTATGTACATATGTGTGTTTACGTAAGCACGATCGCACAGTTATTTTTCATTGTACTTTTCGCAAAAATAGCGCGGAAAATTTTCTTAGAATTGCAAAGAATAAAAAATAAAGAGAAATTAAATAAATAATAATTCAGCGACAAATGTTTCTAGCAAATTTTTACCATGAAGAAATGGCACAAGAAGCATAAGAACCTTCGCGGTGGTAACAGGAAAAAAATAAAAATAAAATAATAAATAAAAATGTAAGCAACAAAGAAGCAAAAAAAATGGAATTAATGGAAAAATTAAAAAAAGTTTGGAGAAAATCAGTTTATTTAAATATTTTTTAAAATAAATTTTCTGCCATATTTTTATACTCTCGCAACTTGTTGCTACAGAGTATAATAGTTTTGTTCACCTAACGGTTGTTTGTATCACCTAAAACTAATCGAGTTAGATACAGGGTTATATATATATAAATGATCAGGATGAAGAGACGAGTTGGATTCCGGGTGACTGTCTGTCCATCCGTCCGTCTGTCCGTCCGTGCAAGCTCTTGAGTGAAAATTGAGATATCTTTATGAAACTTGGTATACATGTTTCTTGGTACCGTGAGACGGTTGGTATTGCAGATGGGCGTAATCGGACCACTGCCACGCCCACAAAACGCCATTAATCAAAAACAAATAAATTGCCATAACTAAGCTCCGCAATAAGATACAAGACTGTTATTTGGTACACAAGATCACATTAGGGAGGGGCATCTGCAGTTTACATTTTTTAAGTGGGCGTGGTCCCGCCTCTAATAGGTTTAATGTGCATATCTCCTAAACCGCTAATGCTATAATAACAAAATTCACTGGAAGCAAATTTTTTTAGACCTCTACCCACAGTGTGAAAATAGTTGAAATCGGGTGGTAACTCCGCCCACTCCCCATATAACGGTACTGTTAAAAACTACTAAAAGCGCGATAAATCAAGCACTAAACACGCCAGAGACATTAAATTTTATCTCTGGGATGGTATGAGATGACTTTTTAGGAACCGCGTTCAAAATTAGACAGTAGGCGTGGCTCAGCCCACTTTTAGGTGAAAACCCATATCTTTAGATCTGCTTAACCGATTTCAACCAAATTCGGTACGTAACATTCTTCTCATATTTCTATGTTATAGTGCGAAAATCGGACTTCAACCACGCCTACTTCCCATATAACACCATTTTAAATTCCATCTGATTCTTTCACTTTCCACTATGCATATCAAGCAACAATGATTATATCGGGGTAAAACTTTGCGTGAATAATACGTTTAAAGTATGCCACCTTGTGACCAAATATTGTCTAAATCGAACCAAAACTGTTCAAGCCCCTAAGTACTAAATATGTGGACCCCAGTGCCTATAGTTGACCTTCTACCGAAAATATCAGCCAATCCACAAAGAAATCTTAAACGAGTATACCATTTGACTTTGCGAGAGTATAAAATGTTCGGTTACATCCGAACTTAGCCCTTCCTTACCTGTTTTTTTTGTTAGAAAAGTAAAAAAAAATACATTAAATTAAAAATATAAGCAAACACCAAGAAAAACATTAGGTAATTGGAAACAAAATATAAGAAAAACTATATTTCATAAACATTTTCTTCTTGAAAATCATATTTTTTTTTTGATAATAGTTTTCTTTAAAGTTTAATATTTTATTTTTAATTTTTAATTTTTCTTCAAAATCCAATAATTTATTTAATTAATATTATTTTATTTTTTACTTTTCTTCAATAGAAAATTCGTAGAAATACATAATACTAATTCAAAATATCCAGATAATAAATTAGTAAGAAAACAATGCAGTTTTTTTAAATTTATCATCAAGAATTTAATTAAAATATAATTTATTATGAGAATGAATATGTAGTTTATTGTTACAGAATATATACTTTTGAGCGCGAAAGTGTTGAAAAACTGGTATTTTAAACAAAGCACTAAAAAATTCTTATACTGTGAACGGAATGTATTCTTCAAATTTTTTGTGGTTGTTTTTTTTTGTTTATTAAATATATTTGGTTTTTAACAAATTTTAGTTCATAAGTACAACAAATTAAATTTAATTTGCAGAAATAAATTAATCTAATATACTAATTTAAGTAAAACACAAATTAATTAAATTAAAATTTCAGTTATTCAATGTAAAGCTTTGGAAAATAAATACTCGTATTACTCGCTTTTTGCACGAAATAAAAAAAAATGTTTAAATTATAATTTTTTTTTTATTTAGAAAAGCTGGAAATTTTAAAATCCGAAAAATTTATACATGTTACACTATAGCTATTCAGATATTTAATTCTGGTGGTAACCCTACATACACCTGCTCGCATATGGTCTCAAATATATTTAAAAAATATATTTGGTAAAAGTAATTAATAAAGTTTGAGCTGTAAGTGCTTTGTTAAATAATCCTTTCATTTCCTAATATTAATTTTTAAAACTAAATTAGTTTTTCGTAAAAAAGTCAAACTTTGTAATATAACTCTATTTGGCTACTTAGTAGTTCATATTATTTGCTACACATTATAATTTATCTATGTATTGTATATTTGCTTATTGGCCGGAAATGCACATTTGCATACACATTAATATTTTTGTTGTGTTTTTTGTTAGTGGAATTAGTTTCAACATCTGAGAAAATGATTCTCTCATGGCATTGACAAAGCGACCTGCTTTAGTTAGACGGAAATTATGTACATACATATATGTTACATATTAAATGGGTCAATAGTGATTTATTCTCTAAAAAAAATATAATAATCCATGAAAGTGAATTCATCAATAATTATTTCCGCATTAAGCAAGTCTTCCCACCTAAGTAAAATCAATAACCGAGGGAAACAGTACATTTGGGAAAATATAGCGAGATAACAAAGCGATCACACTCGGATGTCGAGCTTGACCTGGAAAGATACCTTATTTGTTTGTAAGAATATTGCGTTTTGACGATACTATTACTACTACTACTATTTTGTTTCTAGGCTTGATAACTTGCGAATCAAAGTACAAAAAATTATGGGTCGGACAGTCGCAGAGTGTGCTATTAGTCATTTAGCTTTCCATATATTTTGAAAATATTTCACAAAGTTCTACCAAATCCAAAGCCGATCATTTACTGTGGTCGTGTACTATACACTATAGTGAAAGCTTAGTAAAAAAAAAACTTATTTGATGAAAGCATCTGGAAAGCTCTCGTTGTTTTCACGCGCTTGACAGCAAAAGGCTACGGTACTCAAAATAGAAAAACATAACCACACATGGTAGATTTAAAAAATATCTCATAAAGCTATTTTAAACTGGATAGATATCATACAGTAGTTTGAAAACGCTCAGTTACGGTTCAAAATCTGACTATATCGAGATGAATCGTGGTGATCCATGCTTTGAAGCTTTCCTTATTGCTAGCCATTAATCTCAGTGGAAGCCCGTTTTGCTAAATATTCAAACGTACAAAACGAGTTCGAAGCATATACAGCTTTAGAAAGAGATTTTAACCTCACTTTTTTATTCAAAATATGAAAGGCAAAATAATAAAGTTAGCTGTTTTAAACTGGATAGATATCATACAGTAGTTTGAAAACGCTGCTCCATTCCTTTAATTTGAAAATTAATATGAGAAAATGGCTCCGTTCGTTCTAGGGTTTATCATTATCTTACTTTGAAAATTGAATTTTCGCAGTTTCACATATTATACATTTTAAAAAGAGAAATCTTATTTGCTAAAAATATGTTGAAAGCTTTCATTCCTTTCACTCCGGAGCTTACACACACGATATATTCTTAATCTAAATGAAGATATTTTGCTTATTTCCGCTTGATTCCTACCTTTTTGCAGCTGTTGCTGTTGTTGTTGGTACAAATGGTGGTGCAGTTCACGCCATGGTTGCCAAAACAAACTATTTGCTACATTCGAATTGTTTTGCTGATCGCGCGCGTGCCACAATTGAGCATGCGCATGCGCCTGCTCCGCTTGGAGATGGTGTTGATGATGATGCTGTTGTTGCAAATGCTGCAGATGTGACGCTGGTGGTGGCAGCGTTAGTGGCAACGCAGATACATGCGGCAGATGCATATGCGTCGGTGCTCCGCTTGATGATGGCGATGCCAGCGTCGTTGTTGTTGTCGCTTTCGCATGCTGTGCGCCTGCGCGGTTAAGTGCAAATTGTTGTTGTTGTTGTGCCAAATGTTGCTGCTGTTCATGCTGCAAATGTTGCAGGTGGTACTGTGCGGCCATAGCGGCGGCGGCTTGTGCAGCAGTGAACTGCGGCATTTGGCGCGATGAAGGCGGTTGTGATTGCAGCGCCGTCGATGGCGTCAACTGCGCATGCTTTTGTGTAAGTTTATGTCCATTAGTTGTTGCTGTCGAGGTATCTTTGCCATTCGCAAGGCTCGCCTGTGTTGGGTAGTGGTTGTTGTTGCTGCGCGTGCTCACCGTTGGGCTGGCAGCAGGTAGCGCTGCCGCGACGTTGCTGCCCACAGCTGATGCTGGGGAAGAGGATAGAGATGATGCCGTGGAGGAGGAGGCCGAAGGTGAGTTGGCGTTGGAGGAAGTTGTGGATGAGGTGCACGCATTGTTGTTGTTATTGCTAGCCATATGAGCGGAGTGGTTGCGCACCGCTAGCGTGTTCTGTGCGGCCGCTGTTGCTGCCGCGGCTGCATTGGCGACGCGCTCAAATTGCTTGATGTGGTTGTAGTAGTTTTGTTCGAAAGCGTTGAGCAGCAGATACTCCATTTTGCCAATGGGTGCTTCAGAATGTATGTTTGTGTTTTAATCGGTGCCACAATATGTTTATTTATTATTTTTCTAAGGTTTCAACACACAAACGGTGCGATGTTGCCCATTTTCGTTTTATATATATATTATATATTTTTTTCAATGTTGTTTCGGCCAACTTGATTTTTATTGAAAAAATAACTGTTGTGTTTCACAGGTTCACTTTTTTTACATTTATTTTATAATTTAATGCTCTTCAGGTTTGTAATGTAACTAGTTTTTCACTCATTGATATTTTATTTGAAAGGTTTTTGACACCTCTATAGAAAATAGAATTATAAATTAAAAAAAATTAATTTTTGTATTTTTAAATTTAAAATAATTTTTTAAATTTTTTTCATACAAATCTTATAAGATTTTCGTTCTCTTCAAAAATTTTTTAATTGTGCTTCGTACAAAAAAAAAACTAACACTAAAGGTCTTATGACTTTATTTTTATGATCAAAAAATGTTTATGAATTCAAAACTTTCTATGGCCATCTCAGAGTAATTTAATAATTTTTGTTAAATTTTTCTTTCAAATAATAATATATTATACACATTTTTATTATTATCAAGAAAAAAAATTAAAAGACTATTTAAAAGGAAACTTTGTTAGCTTTTAATTTTTATTATGAAATTAAATTTTTAATTCACAATATTTGATTGTTTTTGTGTAAATTTTTATTACAATTTATTAAATTTAAAACGTAAATATTTTTGAGTTTAAATTTTTTATTTTTCAATGATGATGTATGAAATGCACTATTTTTTCAAAATTTGCACTTATATTTCCACTTTATCTATTTTTGGGATTTGTAAATTGATTTAAAATCTTCTCGAAAAATGTTCATACTTGTTTTTTTGCACTAAAATTCATATTGCCACTTTTAACCACTAATAAAAAAGATTACTGATCACATTAAAATGCTTCTGACTATCAAAAGGTATTCATTTTTAATAATTATAGCAGTCATAATGGTATCTGCAGCCATTGCAGTTATTTAAAAATTTTTGTATGATTTTTTTTTTTCAAATATTTTTTGTTATTTACTACGCACGCATAGCTGCCATATTTGGCGACGCAGACGTGTCAATGTGTCGTTTGCAACTTAAAACCAGTAAATATTTATGTTTGAATGTACATATGTATTGTAATCGCTGTTTTCACGAATCGTTTGAAGTTCACGATTCGATTTTTCAGCATTCAAATGTTGCTTAAATACGAAATAATATGCGAAAACGTGCTTTGCATATTAAAGCATATTACAACTAAAGCATAAAAGCGAAAAAAATTTACATTACAACAACATCAAGCATTTGGATTTGAATGTTTAAGCGTTTTTAAAGCATTTTTCTTCGATTCGATATATTAGTTTGCGGTTTAGATTTTTTATTTAAAATATGTGAACTTTTTGTTCTTTTTATAATCTGTTGTTTTGTAAATTATATAAATACTATATTAAATTTATCATGTGATAATTTGTACCTTTTATCAAACACATATACATATAATCAATCAGTTAAATTAATTTCTGCATTCAGTTTAGTTTATTATTTTATTATATAATTTCCGTTGCATTAATTTCTTTAGGTGTAATTGAATTTCGCATTATTAATTTAATTTTATAATTTTTATTTTATTTTTCATATATATATTTTTTTGAATTTTTAAACTTAAAAACATTTAACAGTAAAATTGTATTACTCCAACTTTTTATTTTTTTTTAAATTATTTTTTAATTAAATTTTCTAGTGAGATTTGTTTAAATATATATTTTTTAATTTTTAGAAAGTTTTTTTTTTTGCGAAAAAGAGAGTTTTATTTTCCGAAATATTTCGGAAACCACTCTAAAAGACCGTCAGACATTACTAAGACTAACATCGCTTCCGTACATTTTCAGTACGTGAAATCTGCAAATATAGTTTTTTCTTATCAAAGGTTCAATTAAAGTATACTTTGGTGCAAAAGTATATCATTTTATTTTCGAAAGAAAATGTCATTCATTTTAACACAAGTATGTACATCTATTTATATTTATATACAATATAATAACTGGGCTTATGATTGAGTAACAAGTTTTTAATTCCGAGCAAATAAGACTACACGATCAATAGATTAACGAATAACGAGTCCAGCTACGTTCAGTTACGGTTCAACATCTAATTATGCCGAGATGAATCATGGTGATCCATGCTTTGAAGCTTTATTACTTGCTAGCCATTAAACTCAGTGGAAGCCCGTTTTGCTAAATATTCAAACGTACAAAACGAGTTCAAAGCATATACAGCTTTAGAAAGAGATTTTAACCTCACTTTATTTTTATTCAAAATATGAAAGGCAAAATAATAAAGTTAGCAGTTGAATAATGTTATAATAATCATATAAGTTTTTATTTCAAACAATTCATTTTCGAGTAGATTAGGTTAGGCAATTTTCTAATCTCAATTAAAAATTGGTAATATTTAAATTTTAGTAAGTTAGAAACAAAAATTTAATTTCCATTTTTCATTAATTTCTTATTTTTTTGTAAAATTTTATTTGTCGAAACCGCTGATATCAGACCACTATAGCATATAGTTGCCATACAAACTGAACGATCATAATCATGCTCTTGTGAGGAAAACTTTTTTATTTGACAAGATATCTTCACGAAAGTTGGCTTAGATTATTTTCCAAAGCAAGGCTACAATCTCTGAGCATATAGCTCGCATCCGACTTGACCGATCAAAATCAAGTCCTTGTATGGAAACTTTTTTTATTTGTGAAGGGTATCCTAGTTTCGGTGCAGCCGAATTCTTGATAGATTTAAATTTTTGTTTTCGTTTTTTTAGCTTTTTGTATTTTGTATTTGTTTTGTCAACTTCTCTAATTTGATTGTATTTAATTATTAAAAAGTTAGTTTTTCAGTTTAGTCATTTTTTGTTTTGTACATATTTATGTAAAATTTTTTTTTAGATGTTAAGGGGTTATAACATATATTTTTTACATAGTTCCTTCCAGTTTTTAAGTAATTTCTTTTACAAATCTATTTATTCAACACTGTTAAAATTTATTTCCTATTTAATTAATAATGAATGCTTATATATATATTTTTTTTATTTTGCTTCTATCTTATTAATGCAGAATCAAAAACAGTTTTATTTAATTGTTTTCCTTCCCCCTTTTTTTGTTTTAGTTTAAATTTTCTTAGTTTTTATTAATAACTTCTCTAATATGGGAATGTTATTTTAATATATCATTTATTAATTTTATCTACTCGCATAAAAAGTTCAGCAAACAAAAGCACGTATGTTAATAGTATTTCGCAACATTTCTCTATTACAACGGGTTTATCTTTTACGTAGGTATTCACGATGTTTGCTGACACTCTGTAATTGCCATGACTGAAATAGACAAAAACGCAGACACACATACGCGCGTACAGCTCGCTTGAAGGCGACGGTGGCATTCGCCTGCTTTGGTTGATTTGAATAATTAAAAAAAAATAAAATAAAATAAGAGATAAAATCAAAAGAGCAATTTTGCATTTAATTTGCAAGCAAAGCAGTCACTTGAAGCCGCGTCTTTGACGCAGCAACTGACAAGCAGTTTATTCATTTATTGACGTATGCGTGCGCCTGTGTGCGCTGTGAGCGCTTACCGCGCGCCAGTACGGCTATGTGCCATGCGCGCTGAACAATAGAGCATCAGCAGACGATTGCAACTAAGTACGCGCTTTGTTGTTGGCTTGATCAATTACACTTTGCCTGAACCTGAGTGGGGGTTTTCAATTACAATACGAGCTTGGTGTTGTTTAAATAAAAGTAGAAGTAAAAAAGTTACAAAAAAAACACACACACGCGCTAGCAAATCAAATATAGTTGCCGCACGTTGAGTAACTGTAAACGACACAGCGCCCGTATTTGCGCATGCAACCGCTCAAGGGAGGCGACAATTGCAGCCGGAGCTAGGTCAGGATTGTCGCTTAGCCGTGGAATTACCAGTTGGTGTTGGACGCTGCGAATTAAGGTTAAACGGAAACAGTTGTTTGCATTACGCGACGTCTGAGACGGCTGCAACGATAACGGCGTGGCTGAGTTGCATTAAAAAGCAATAAAAACAACACTAATAACCAATTGCTAACGTTGCTAAATGCACACACACACTTTTAGCCAATTCACTTTCATGCAAAAAAAAACTCATTTTTTGCTTTTGCATTTCTTTATTGACATGCATTTACCTTAAACGCCGCAATTTTTAGCGTTTTGCACATAAATATTTTTTTTTTCTTCACTACCTTAGAAAAAATTATTACTTTAGTGCATTGCTATTTTTTTTTATTTAAATTATTTTTGTTGTATTTGCATATGTGCGCAAACTTTTCGTTTGGTCCGCGAAGTCGTGCTTTATCGAGTAGCTACAAACCGAAACTAAGCTCAAAACTTTGACGATCTTTAAGTGCTGTACTCCGCCAATAAACACACAAACACAATCAAACAATACAAGCGCAGTCTGCTCAAGTCAACTTAAGTTAAGTTGTTTGAGGCGCGCTCCACAGCACTCACTTACATATGTGGCAGCCAAGCAGCAGCAAGTCTCCAATCGCGTCAGCGCTCTCACGTTGCGCTACTGCTTACTGCGCGCGCCGCTCGCTTAGGAGCGCGTTTGTTTACATTTGTTGTGTGTCTGCGTTTAAACGCGGCGCTGGCATGAGTCAGTCGACCGCTTAACTAGTTGTACATAGGTATGAAAGAAATGTTTTGGAAACCGCTCCACATTTGACCTTTTGCTACGCGCTCTGCGCTTGTCTAAGCCGCGCAATTATCTAGCGCGTCTTCGAAAGTCTCCAAGTGCTGAGTATTGTTTAAACTGCCACGCGCTTGTGTGTGTTGGTGCGCCTTACTCTAGTTCACGTTTTCTTTTGCTCCACAGCTGCGCTCTCTGTGTCTGCTCTTCAATGCGCTCGCGCTCACGAGTGTGAGCTGCAAATTGCTTGCTGGTCTATGGTTTGCCGCCGCTAGACATCAGCGGCTTGCAGTCGGAATCAAGTGTTGGTTTTTTATTTTTATCTTTAAAATTTTTATATTCTTTTTTGCATTGCGTCTTTTCTCTATTTCGTTGTTTATTTTCTTTTTTATTGCTATCTATTTTCGCCGTCTTATTTCTTTATTGCCGCCATTCACGCCGCGTAGTGTGTCACGGCGTACTCGTTGCTCGCGAAATTTTCGCTTTATTTATTTACTTTGATTGTTAGTTTGAAGTTTATTTCTTTTTTATATTATGCTTTATATTTTATTGTACTTATTTTTTCGCCTGCCATCGCTTGAAGTCTCTCAACATTAAAGTTTATTTGCGCGCTGCCGCGTTTGGTTCACTATGTTGATCGCTGTTCAACGTTCAAATCGTTCGCGCGCCACTCGCTATTGCAATTAATTTTTTCCATTTTTATTATGCCAACTTTTTTCCAACAATTCTATCATAATTTTTTTTCTTCTATTCAAAGTGGGCTATGCTGCGCGGTGCGCGGCGGCATCAGTTATATGTGGGTATCTTGCCGAAGCGTCCATAATGATTACAGCAACGGCTAGTTGGCCTTTCGTTTTGTGCATATTTCACTCACCTCGTTTCTTATTGATTTCGATCTTCATTTCATTTAAATTTTTTTTCGTTTTTTAATTTTTTTAGAGCAAATGGTTTCAGTTTCGAGTTCAACAGCATTTAGCACTAGGTGTATAACACCACACTCACACACACACACACACACACACAGTCACGAACGTTACAGAAATAATGTTAACATTAGCATATTCAAATGTGAAATAGTTTGTTTATTGATTTTTTGTTTTCGGCTTAAAATTGTTAATGAATTTGAAAATGCGTTGGCGCTAAATCCAGTTTGCTTGGCTTCACAAACAAATACACATACATGTGTTTGTGTGTGTGCATATACTCTGCTGCAGGAAATTATAATCAATATTAATTTTAGTAGCTCCCTAAAAATAGCGCTGTTAATTAATAAGGTAGCAAAATCACACAATTTCATACAAGTTTCATTAGATTTCATCATAAATTTGAAGTGAAGCAGTTCATTGCTCTGTGGCGCAGTATAAAAGCGGCAACCAGAACGCCAAAAGGTCCACATGACGTGGGTTGGTATTATATTCAGTGGGTCACGCGCTGGAGACGCTTTAGTGGGGGCATGGTTCAAATGATTATACAAGTTTAAAGCTTTCGAGGTATATAAGCTCTGGCGTAAAATCAGCGTAGAGTCGTAAGGAATTTGATGCACTTCTATGCGGTTATTTTACGAATGACAAAACCCAACCGAGGTGAAGCGCGAGGAGCTTGTAGCACCTGCTGATGGTTCGACGAGCCGGACTATATGTTATGATAAAGTATATATGATTGATGTTTCCACATTTCATAGACTGTTGCTCGTGCTTCTTGTCAACATATATAGTATTATTCAGTGAATAATATTGGGGAATGCTGCTTGACTGGATATATTCCCGGGTACGTTCAGGTTTTGTAGACCCTGCTAAATCGACATGGCTAAATCAACTCAGCTGTCATGCTAATCAAGTTTGTTACAAACTTCGTGGCAAATTTAATATACCCTGTTTGAGGCAGCTTCTTTTTGATTACAATAACTTTAAAACGATTGAAGGAAATGTCATGAAATGTTGCCAGTATTTAAGTTAAGCTTAGTACTCCAGGAAAGTGTGTGAGTCGGTCTGGCCAAACACTGTCTGGTGTCCATATATGTACTTGTATATTTCATTTATATTTTTAAAATTATTTCGTTGCTATTTTTTCAAGCGCCGCTGTGCCTGTTTGCCAAACTTACATAATAATATAATATTATTGTATATGTGTATACATTTATGTATAAGTTACATTAAATTATCCACGTCTCGTTTAGACTTAACTAATTCAACGCTTAAGAACCTAATTGCGCTGCAAATCGCTTGTTCACACTGGCAATGTGTCAACTGTTGCAAAGTGATAATGTCAAAAAATTTTTCTCATTAAGTCAAATAAATAGAAAAACAGATTTATCAAAAGAGATGGTAGGTTTTCCATGATTAACATTACTTGCACAGACAATAATGCTTGATTTTGATTTTAATTATATTTTTTATTCGAAAAGTAATTAAAAAATTTAAATTATTTATGTATTCATTATATAAGAATATACATTGTGTGGGGTAGTGGTTATCAGCGCCATTTTGCTTGAACATTTTTTACTTGTATCATGCAACCTGTGTGTTGCATGCAACAAAGTCAACCTTCTTGTTGATTTTTGACGTCACGCTAAAACTGAAAACATTACAACAGCAAATATTATCGTATAATACATTCATACATATATACACTTGTAGCTACAAAGTCCCTAGCTATGGAAACCAATTACCGGGCGTGATGCGTAAAATTCTTACACAATCAGTAATAAGTAAATACATATGTATGGATAACATTTCGTCACAAGCAACAGGCCACGCGGTCTCCACGATAGGGTGTTTAGCGGTGGGTTAGCAGGGTGTTGCGGCAGGTGTTAGTGGTGCTTGCTAATTAGTGACAAGAAAAACTCAACAAATAAGCGGAACTTAGCTGTATGTACATGTGGGGTGCGATAAGTCGGTGAAATTTGGCATAAATTAGATTAAATGCAACCTTGTTACTGTCACTTATCAACTGTTAAGATGTTGCTCGACTTGTTAAAATATGTAAAAACACTGCTCATGAGCGGATTCACACTAACGAGAAATATCAAATTTGACTTCACAAGAAAACTTTTCCCTTTCGATGAAAACTGTGAATTTTGACTCTTAACTTAAGACACAACCGTCGAACCACTTCAAGAAAGTGTATGACGATTTTGAGTACTAAACCATACAATTTACCGTCATTCTGAAGTAATTTTCTTAAGCGATTTCGGTCGAACTCAGAAAAGTGATACTTTACTTGTTTCATAAGATGATTGCTGTTTTAAAACCGACGAAAAACCATTCCCTCTTTCTTACTTTTTCTTAATATAGTAGGGGTATTTTTTCTTTGGTAGAGTTGCTTTTAATTTTAGTACAGCGTAACCTTGTTAGTGAGACTAAAAAATTCTACACATAATTCTCGCGATCGCCTGTAGAATTCCACTATTGTCATTACCGAAACTTCTGCACCAGATACTTATTTGAATCGACAAAATATATATTAAATATATAATTTTTTGACTTATCATCCTACCCTCGTACTGCCAACCGTCATACAGTTATCAACTTAAGTTAGTATTTAAACGGACACAAATGTTTTCTTAAGAATGAGGTAATGTTCGAGTATATGGTATATGTGCATGTACCTTCCTTCTAGAATATTGTAGTATTGCTAGTCATGCCACATAGAGTAAGTCAACGTCCTTCTGAAGGAAATCTCGACTTGGTTGACCCAAATTTTATTGGGTGTATATTATATGATTGGCAACATTGATTGCTTACATATTACCGGACGAAATTGTGTGAAGATTGTGTTGATTTTTTAAAGGAGAAATATAATGAAGTAAGTTTTACAAAATGACGACAAACAAGAAGTGGAACAGATGTGCATAAAAGCTAGAAATATTTGCATTTGGTGTGAAGTATGTGGTATGTGGTATGCTCTTTTGTTTTAATGTGGCATTGATGATATTGCTCGCTTGTGAATTACTTCAAGTTGACATACGCTGGGGTAGAAGCTTTAAGAATTTTAGAGCGATTAAAATGTTATAAAAACAAGTTTATTTGCAAATGAGGTGCCTTATAAAGTCCAAAATTGACGTGTGATATAGACAAGAAAATATAGGCGAGAAGGTCACTGAGTTAATTTAGAACCGATTTATTGGAGTAGTTGTGAACTTCTTAGAACTTTAGTGTTGCCAGTCAATGCATTCGAGTTTTAAGTTTACTAGCTACTAGATAGTTGATTAAAGAGATCGAAGTGTGATTTCGAGAATTTCTCTCGAAAAGCGTTGCTGTGCCTGAAATAGCTTTGATTATCGCCTAGCACAGGAAAGGTAATATATTTATGTATATGAATCTTGATGTCAGTCTGCTCTTTAAAAATATTGAAAAATATGTTATAGATCTGAGACAACACATTATCACAATAATATAGTATATTTTAGAAAAGTTTAAAAAAATTTTGAAGCCTTGTTCGTCTTGGTTTCAACGAGTAGTGCTAAAGCTGTTAGTTTCAGTTTTCTTTAGGTCTGGGAGGAAAAGCTGTAATAATGAAATTAAGTAAATTTTTCTTCCAGCTTAATTTATTAGCTGAAAAAGCAAAACAAATTGAGAAAACAACCTCTGCTACCCGTTGGTAAATGAAGAGATATAATGCGCTCTACCCAACGGCTATTGGATTTTATGAGTACTCGAAGCTCTGTCTTGGTGGTTACAATGATGACAGTTACAAGCATAATCAACTAGTACTAGATCACAGATTTCGGTCGCTCTTTTACATAAATTCTCATTTAATCGTTTACATTCGCTGCCGATAAAGTAAGGTTTATAAAGTGATCTAAGAAATATCCGGTTCGTAGTCTATCGAAAAATAAATGCAAAAGTGATTACTATAGATTTGAAATACACTTTCTATTCGCTGCATATCTGATCCCTTAAATGTGGAAACGGATTTTCACAAATGCAGTAAAGGAAAAGTGATGAAATCACATTTGCGTAGGCGTTTGTCAAAGCTTACTCACATGCAGAACCCATATATTCTCTTGATATTCGTCGAAATCAGTGACACATTA